TTGAAGTGTCCAGTTAATTTATTAACAATTTTCAAGAAATATATTCAAAAATTAAAATGAATTGAAAAAATTTCAGGCTAAACAAACTAAATATCTACTTCTCAGGGTTTGTAAGTGTTTATGCTAGTTTTAACCCCTTTGAGTTCAAGTATGAGAATACAATAAATTAATAAATATTACTAGCTACCTCGTATCACCATAACTTATAACTTAATAATTGAATAATTAGATCAAATATTGAAAATATTATTATGACTAAGTTAATTTATTTTTGTACAACCTTCCAAAAATACAGTAGTTATGCTGGAATAACTCTATAATTAATAAATAAAATTATAGTTTTTAATAATTTCATTACAACGGTTCATCTAAATGATTTTTATATGTAGGAACATAGTTTGTTAGAAATACAAGACAACATAAATTTGCTTTTTTTTTTTGTAGTATGCATATACTATATTTCTTGTTTTGTTTTTTTTTTAAAGAACTTAAATGTATAAAGTTATTAGACATTACAATGGAAGAACATATTATATTATTGTATTATAAATATTTTAATGATTAAAAATAAGTAGTAGTTAACTACAACAATGAAGGTATAATGTTTAGGTATAAATAAAATTAAACTGTTGTCATTCGATTTACAAGATAAGGCATTCCTTGTAAAATTCAGTAGTTGAAATATTTAGTACCAAAATAGTAAAATAGCGATTTAAATATTTTGTAAGAAGCAAACTAACTATTTTAGCCCTAATTTTTTTTCAGAGTTGTAAAAAACAGCTTTAAGTCTGGTTGAAACAAATTTGCATCACTTTTAAAATATTTCAAATGCTTGTTTTTTACATTTTTTTGTTGTATTGTACACAATATGAAATTAAAAATTGTACACTAAAAATTCATTAATTAAAATAAATGGTAATAATATCAATAGGGCAATGGAAAGCATTTTTATCCTGTATATTTAAATTAATTTATTTATTTATATATTTGAACTTATTAGCAATCAAATACTCTTATTATTTTACGGGTGATTGAAATTTTTCGTTTAAAATTTAATGAAAAAAAAAATAAAAATTTTTTGCGAGTAAAATCTAATTCTAAAGATTTTAAGAGTGTTTTTGTTCCTTCAAATATTTTGTTTCGTAAGTTGTAGGTATTTTTTGCTTATTTAAAAGAAAAAATTACGGGCTTTGTAAATAGAGAAGTAGCTATATGTAAATACCGATGTAATGTTAAATTTCTTTCAGCTGTATTACATTCACACTTACGAGGATTAATAAATACAATGTATTAATTTGAAAAAAAATGATTTATTTTTTTAATCACAAAGTTCAAGAGTTTAACAAAGAATTCTACGTTTTCTACATGCTGCAGAAAATACGTTTTACAGCACTAGTATATATCACATATGTTTTTGACGTTTCTGCCTGATAATTTATTTGTTGTGAATATAGAATTAGCAACAAAACAGTAAAAGAGAAAAATGTGCCATAGCAAATGTGAAAAAAATGTTAATTTTCTCCCAGACAAATGCCTGCAACAGAAAAGAAAACAATAAGATTTCTTTATTGTCGTTTTGGCTTTCGTTTCGCATTGTTGTGGTTAAAGTGTAGCTGCCAATCAAAAGGGCAAAACGTGCCAAACTGGGAACAGCAAAAAATTACATAAACAAAATTGCAACCAAAATAAACAAATTCCCAACAACCCGGAAAGAATATAGATAACAAAGTGAACATAAAGTTTTTTCTCTTGTTTATAAAAAAAAAAAGAAAATAACAAATACATTTGCGATGCACCTGAACTTGAAAATTTTGTAGCGTTGTGTGCAGTGCGATTCGAAGCAATTGTGCGAAATGCTGCAATGAAGGTTAAATTTATAAAAAAGCAAAATAAATATACGTATTATTGTCTTAATTGATAGAATAGCCACACGCAATAAATTAACGAATCTGTAAGTGATACATTAAAATTGCGCTACGTCAAAAAAAAGAATCATATAATTATAATAAAAAGAAATACTTCAACGCCCACATAAAATAGCAGCTAATGAGCTCTGCCACAACGTAAAGAAATTCTATGCAAGCATTTCAATCATAAAATCTGTGTTGGCTAACATTGAAATCGCAATCACAAAGTGCCTCGCGGCAGGAAAGTAATTATGCTGTGCTTGTGGTCGGCACTTACTGCCCGCGCACTTCTGTGATGCTAACTAAGCTTTTCCATGGCAACCACGTGCGTGTGCGGTGACTCAGTTTGGGGGTGTTTCGCGTGCTTTCGCCTACTTTACAATTTCTTCACATTTTTTACTCCTGCGAAGTAAGTCTATTGATTTTTGATGTGTTAAATAAATTTATTAATTTTTATATCATAATAAATATTATCATTTACAGAGATTTTTATGGCATTTGTTTAAACAAAATTAATTTGTTGGGATTTGTCGGAAGCTGTATAATTCTTCACTTTGGATACAGAAATCGCAAGGATGAAAGTTAGTGTAAAATGAAAAATGTTTTATTGTGATTAAATTATTTATGTAAATTGTATATATTTTATATATAATTAATTCGATTGTATACATTTTTTTTTAGTAATGATTATTCCGTTATCTATATATGAATACTTGGACTGAGGAGATTAGTCAGATTCGTTCAAAGTAGCTTGGAAGTTTTTTATAGATAAGGTAACATTCATAAGCTTCATATAGACTTTAAACTATCTTATATGTGACCCAATATTTCGTCCTGCACTCATAAAGGCAACCAGTAAAGTGAGAAATATGAATCATAAATTACTGATGTGAATGCAGACTAAGTTTAGCTTATAAAGCAGTTTTAATCGCTGGTTATTATAATCAGTATTATTTGAAACCATTAACACAAGGAAAGTGAACTGTAAAAAATAAAATGTTTCCTTATAAGTAATTAGACCTGATGGCTGTGTTCTAAGGCTGTGTTACTTACGACAATGCTGCTCAATTGAACATTGGAAAACTTCAAATTATTAAGAAAATTACATCAGTACATCAGTAAAAAATATATAAACAAAGACTTAAGAGTTGGGAGTGTGCGAAAGTTCATCAAAGGCAGAGCGTTGAGATTGTTTATTTCTGTGATTGCTCACACTAGTTAAGAGTTAAGAAGTTATATGGGGGACAAACTATACTTCTGTAAATTTCTTTGAATAACTAATAACTCGCGCTTCAGCAAGTAAAAAAGAAGTATAATCAGTATAAGAGAAAATATGCATGTTTTTGTATACGAAGTTTACTTTCCTTATGTTATTAGGCTAAAAAATTATTTCAAGTTTGGTTCGTAGAAGATTTCCACTGTCTAGATACTCGTATAAATATATATACTGTGTTAATATGTAGATTAGTTGTTGTAGCCCATATGGATTTGTCTGTATACTTCCTGTTGGGAGTGCTGAATGGTATTTGGTTGTCGAACGCGAAAAGTGACTTCGAGACTTTAAAATAGGAAAGATTTCGGTGTACTTTTTTCCTCAACCTCCATACAACAACTTATTTTCCGACTTACCTTTAACTCATCTCATCCTTACTATGGCATTCCGTGCATGTTTTCTGCTATATAGATTTCTACGAGGTACAAATATCTGGATAATTACATCTGGATAATTACAGTAATGATATTTGAAGTAGTCATAGCAGGGAAAAACTCTATAAAAAATATCTTCCTATAGCTCTATACTCCATATGGATAGTTATAATGATAATATTTGTGATAAAGTTATAAATTAAAAAAAATTAAAAAAAATTACTATCACATTATCAAATCTGAGAAGTTACATTGATTACACTGATTCTGTTGTTGTTGTAGCCCTTAAGGATCTATATAGCAGATAACATGAAAGGAATTAAAAAGACGTATACATGGGTTAGGATGTGTATAGGCAATGCTAGAGTGAGAGGATTATTAAGAAGTAAAAGTGGATTGGGGGATG